TCATCGAGAGGGAGACGGGGTGGCTGAAGGTGACCCGTCCCCTGGACAGGGAAGCCATCGACAGATACATGGTGAGTCCGCCCGTGTCACCGCAGGCCTTCCGCCGAGCATCACGGGGCCGCGGTGCCTGCCGGGAAACGGCTTGGCCGCGTTGGGCTTCTTGTGCGGATCCCCGGTCGCTGGTGCTGCCACCTGGCATGGGTCCCACACCGCCAAAATTCATAGTGGTTTTGCCTCAGAACAAGGCATGCGGGGTGCGTGCCCCTCGCTTTGCAGCAGAATTCCCACAATCCAGCTGTTTCCACAGGGAACGGGGTTTCATGGGGCCTGCCATGTCGGTGGGAGCCCAATTCTGCTGGGAAACCAAGCGTCCCTGTCTGCTTCCCTGGCTGGGAGCCTTTGCTGCGGCCACCGTGACCGGCAGGGGAGGGGAGGGGTTCGCCTGCCGGGGGCTCCAGAGAGCAGGCGTGGTCCCCCGTCTCCCCCAAGTGGCCACCCGGATCTGGAGCGAGGAAGGCTCTGCGGCACCTGTGGGCGCCCGCCGGAGCCTTCCCTGGGCCCAGAGCCACCAACACGGCTCTTCAGTGGCCTCTGACTGCCTCCGCCCTCCAGCTGAATTCCCACGCGGTGTCTGCCAACGGGCAGCCCGTGGAGGAGCCCATGGAGATCCTCATCAAGGTGAACGACCAGAATGACAACCGGCCCCAATTTACCCAGACCGTCTTCCGAGGAGAGGTGCCGGAAGGAGCCAAGCCAGGTAGGAATCTGCCCTCGGGTGCACAACTGGGAAGGAAGGGGCGCTCTCGTCCCCATCCTGCCGCTTCCACCTCGTCCGAACGCCCTCCGCCTGCCCGCCTGCCCAGGTACCGCCGTGATGCAAGTGACGGCAACTGACGCCGACGACGACATCGACACCAACAACGGGGTCATCACTTACTCCATCCTCAGCCAGGAGCCCCCACTGCCCTCCAGACAGATGTTCACCATCAACAACAGCACGGGCTTGATCAGCGTGATCACGACGGGCCTCGACCGGGAGGTGAATGCTGGGCCGGGTGGGGTGGGGTGGGGTGGGGGGCACGGGGCCTCGCTGGTGCCCCGAGAGCGCGCTCCGCACTTCGCCAGACTGTGCCCCCTCTTCTCCGCTCGCCTTTGCCGCAAGTGTGGCTTTGCCGCCCGTCCCAGAGGCCCCGCTCACGCGTGGGGGGGCCACGCACCCCCTGCAGCCCTTTCCCCACCTCTGCCTCAAACGGCGCTGCCGGTTCTGCTTCCAGAAATATCCCAGGTACACGCTGGTCCTCCAGGCCGCAGACATGCTGGGCTATGGCTTCGCCACCACTGCGAGCGCCGTGATCTCCGTCACCGACGCCAACAACAACCCGCCCAACGTCGACCCCGTCACGGTAAGGCCGGGGCGCCTCCCGCCCTCTCCTGGGCGCACAGACCCCACCTCGTGCCCCGCCAAGCCCCTCCCGCCACACACGCAACGCCACAACCTCCGCCACCGCCCAAAGTGGCCTGGCCCAGGGAGCAAGCCGGCCCTGGGGGTCCCCGATCCGGACGAGGACGGTCGCCGCACGCCTCCCGTGACGCTGCTCCGGGCTCCCCCAGGAGAGGGTTAACGCTTCCCGCTGAGTCACGGCTGGCTGCCTGCCCACTCAGAAATGGGGCCAAGGCACCGGAGCAGGAACGCCTCCGGACGGACGGGGAGGCGAATCCAGCTGCCGTGGAGGGATGAAATGCAAGACCAGGGAAATGCGGTGAGAGACCCCGGTGGAGGGGGCACGAGCCGGGGGGCGGGGGCACAGCCCCTTGCTTTGGAGTGCCTCTGGGGAATCTGGTGCTGGGGGAAATGCGACTGGCTGGCGCTGGAGGAAAGCCCCGAGGTTGCTGGCCTGCCCCTCCAGCCTTGCACGCTTTCTGACAGGAGGGGCTGGGGTGGGGGGCCCCCTCCTAAGGCAGAAAGCAGATGGACTTGGATGAGGGAGCTGCTGTACAAGGCCGCGCTTCAGGTCACCGCCACCAGGCCCAGCTGGAGAATTCGAGGAAGGTGGGGGACGAGCGGGTCAGGGGGCCCATGTCCGGGGCTGGTAGCGCAGGCCCCCTGAAGCAGCCGGAGCCCCACCGTGCCGCTTGCCCCCCAGCCTCTGCGGAGCAAGTGCGCAAGCAGCGAGGTGGCCGCCCGCTGGCCTTCTGCCTGTCCCCGGGGGGCGGAGGGCCCACGAGGGCATCTCGCCAGGGGGCTGGAGCTGGCCTGCTGTGGGGCGCCCCCAGGGACGGCGAGAGGCTTGGGACGAGGAAAGGAAGTCATTCTTCCCACGGCGTCCGGCTCAACCATCCAATTCCCTGCCATGGAAAGCGGTGGTGGCCGCCAGCCTGGAAGGCCTTCAAAAGGGACGAGGCGGGACGGATTCTCGAGGGAGGCGGCTCCCTGCGGCTGCTGTGGGCCCCCCGTTACCAGAGGCAGCATGCCTGCGCCCACCGGTTGCTGTGCAGCTGGGCCGGAGGGGGTTTTGCACCCACCCGGCTAAAGAGCCGTTGGGCGGCGGGGGAGGTCTGGATAAGACAGACCTTTGGTCTGATCCAGCAGAGCTTTTCCTATTTTTCTAAGAGGGAAGGGTCGGGGTCGAGGCGACTGGGCACCGGCTTGGAAAAGGAGGACCAACTCCTGAGGGTGCCAAGCACAGCTGTGCAGAGGGAAAGTGGTGAGGGCTTCCAAGAGCTCTTCTCCTGCTTTCCACCCCGCATTCCAGACTGCTGCCCCCACGGAGCCCCCCCACGCCTCCCTGACTGTCCACGCACTGAACATGCTCACGGGGCTTCCTGCAACAGACCTGACCATGCACTTCTCTCGGCTCGGGCGCTCCAACGAGCCGTGGCAGGAGATCATGAAGAGGTAGGAGGACCCCGAATGGGCCCGCGGCCACGCTGGGCTGGGCGGGAGCCACAGCGGGGGCCTCTCCGGGCCCCCAGCAGCCCTGGCCTGACCTCTCGCTTTCAGCACGACAAACGAGGACGGGCGCATGGGCGGGGGCAGCGTGCCGCAGGGCCTGCTGGCAGCCGGCACCTACAAACTGCGCTTCGACACCGGGGAGTACTGGCAGCGGCTGGGTCACACCAGTTTCTACCCGTACATAGAGGTAAGTTTCGTTCGGCTGGCAGAAGAGGACCAGAGGGCCCCAGCAATCACATGGCCCTGGCGCAATTGGCTGGGGATGGTGGGAGTTGCAGCCCAACACATCTGGGGAGCGCAAACAGGGGAAGAGAAGTGCATGCTGGGCCTATGCAGGCCCAGCGGCATGGTGAGCTGGAGCGGGGGACCCGTTCCCACCGCCCGCGAAGGATGCCGGGGTCTGAGCAGGGAAGGGAAGGGAAGGGGCCCCGAGCGCTGCTGGGGAAAGCCTGGGGAGCCAGCCCTTGCTCGTGGGGCACCCCTGCAGCAAGCAGACTGTCACCGGAGGGGCCAGCGGGGGCTCTGAGCCAGGCGCTGCCCCCCCGCCCCCATCTGTCCTCCCACGGGCGAGGCCCGGTGACGCTGCAGAGCCCTGCCGGCCTCCCATGACCCCACGGCCCCCACCCCACACGGCTCCGCAGTGCTGAGCGCGCCCGCTGGTCTGTTCCAGGTCGTCTTCGTGGTGACCGAGGCGGAACGCAAGGTGCACATCCCGCTGCTGCTCAGCCCCTACTCCTACACCACCTACCGAGGCAGCTAGCGGAGCCGGCGGGCGTCTCGAGGCGCAGCCTCTTCTCCGGGGGGCTGCACGTGGCGCCCGAGTCCTGCTCTGGGTGCGGATGCTGGCCCGGGCCCAGCCACGTGCAGCTGCCAGTCCATACTGTGAGGCTAATAAAAAACCGATTTGCAAGGTGAATATGGTCACGTCTGGGTGCTGGCCGCTCTCTGTCAACCGCTTCCATTCTTTCTAAGAAGCCCAGAGGCTGACAAGCCAAGAGCGGGAAGAAAAAAGCGCCTCTACAGAAACCCAGTACGGAAAGCCGAGCGCAGGGCCCGTTTATTGCAAGACCGGGCTGAGCCGGCCCTGGACCGTTCCCGGGGCGCTGCATGGCCCTCTCCCCAGCGGTTCAGTCGCGCGAGGGGGGCACAGAGCGGCCCTGGACACGAGGCGAGAGCAGGTGGTGTGCCAGAGGAAAAGGCGGGCCCTGCTACGTGGGGGTGGAAACAAACCCAGCCGGCCCCTGGCCCAGCGTGTGGCCGAGCACCGAGGTCTCCAGGGGCTTGAAGCCCAGATTGTCCAAGGGGATTCCAAAGGCAGTCAGCTTGGCTTCGTACGTCCGCAACAAGTCATTGTGCGCCTGCAACGGAAGGGCGAGACGGTGAGGCCGCGGCTGAGCGCGTGTCCTGAGCACGCTGGCTGCGCAGTACGCAGGCTGCTCCGTCAAACCCACCCCCAGGGGCTGCAGCGGGGCAGGGGAAGGGCTGCTAACACGAGTGCACACGAGGCTCCCTGGCACAGGAAAATGGGGCCGACGCTGAACATGGGGCAGGGTTCATGCCCGCTCGATGCGGGGAGATGGGGAGACACGGATTTCATGGCCTAGGGAAGGGCAGAGGGCCTCCCTCTGCATGCTGCTCCGTGCTCACCCGCGGAGCTCAGTGCGCAGGCCAGCGAGCGCGAAGCACGCCGAGCAGCCATGAGGGGACCCCGCGCGGCCCGAGCGCCTCGGCCAACCACTCCCCTTCGCTGCGGCGGGCGCCAGGGCTCCTCTCGGGCGCGGCTCTTACCTTGCATACTCTGGCCAGCTCGAGCTGGAGGTCCTTGATGGCGTTGTTTTTCGAATCAAGCACGTCCTGCGAAGGGAGAGAGGATCGTCCGTGCATCCGTACTGCAGCGTGCAGGGGAAGGGGCCCCGGAGGGCTGCCCTGGGCCCAGCCTGGCCCCTGACCACTCCCTTGTGGAGCAGGGCAGGCCTGGGCCAGGGTGGCCCCTGAGCAGGTGCACCAGAAGGCGCCGCCTGAGGGAAAGCGGCAGAGTGCAGACTCACGGCAACAGCCCTCTCCTCCTCTCGCCGGCCTCGAACAAGGAGCAGGCCGGCCCCGCACATTCTGGGCTCTTTCTACGGCCAGGAAAGCCGGCAGCCCTTTTTCAGGGGGCTGCTACGAGGAAGGTGCGGTCGTCCAGGGCTGGCAACGTGCATGCAGCGCCAGGTCCTGCACTTGCGTGTGGGCTCAGGCGCGGGTGGCGAGCTCTCGGCAGGCCCTCTGCTCAAGGGGCACCGCGCTTCCCGCCGCTTCCCAGCATTTACTCTTGGGGCTCGCCTGAAGGCTCGCCGCGCCTCCCGCCACAGGAGAGGCCAGCTGTCTCCGGGCCTCTGCCAGGAGGCCATTCTCGGCCTCTTAGTCCCGGGCCCGGGGCTACCATCAGCACAAGCGACGTGCCGGACGGCCCCCGGGGCTGTGCCTTCTGCCCGAGCGGCAGCTGGGCGTGGGGGCGCGGGAGGCCTCGTGGCGGAAGCAGCTGCCGAGGGAGGCGCTGGCCTCCGAGTGGCCGCCGTGCCGCCTCTCCCCTTCCTGGCGCCACCAGCGCTTGGACGCGCCAGTCGCCCGCTCCGACGCCCAGGCGCTCCAGGCAGCAGCGCTGCCCCACCAGCTGCGGCACCGCAGGCCAGCAGAGGGAGCCGGAGAGGGAGGAGGCCGGTGGGGCCCCCGGGGCACAGACTGCTCTCGCCCTGGCAGAGCGGCCGGGGTGACGGTGGGCCTGCGGCGCCCCGGCCAGGAGCAGCCCTGCTCTGTGCTGCGGCAGGTGAGGAGCGGCAGCCTGCAAACACTACGACAGAAATTCGATCCCGGACCCGAACCGGCCCGGCTGTTTTTCGCCTTGTGGTGCTTTCTTAACCTGGAAGCCGGCAGAAGGGGATCCCTCGTCAGCGAGCTGCTAGGCTCAGGCACGTACCTCGAGCTTGCGGGTGACCACCATGAGGGCGCTGGGATCGAGGTTGGAGGCAGCGAGCACCTCGTTCAGCTGCACCTCCTTCTTCTCCAGGATGTTGGAGAGGCCCAGCAGCTTCCGCTCCAGCAGCAAGTTCTTGAAACCCGTCTTCTGCTGCACCTCGTTAATAGCCTTGGTGAACTTCTCGTACAGCTCGTCTCGCTCCTCCTGCACCTGCGCGGGGGGAACACCAACCCGAGGATCAGGGAGAGCACTGCCCCAAGCCCCGGCACGGACTGGGTGGGGGGGGGCTGCAGCCCCCCCCCCCCAACACACAGGGACCTGGCACAGTCACGGACCCACGCGTGCCCAGCTCCACAGGAGGCCCACTGAGAACAGGCCCCAGTCTCTCTCTTCTCCAGGAGGTAGCCCACATCTCGCCTGAATTCTCCGGTGCCGAGACGCACCACAGCACGTGTCAGCCTCCCCCCGCCAGGGACCCCAAAAGGTTTTGGACTCCAGCCCCCCACCTGCATGGCGAATAGTACGGATGCTGCGGGGGGCGCCCTAGAGCGCCCGGGAGGCTCCAGCCGGGGGCCTCACCTTGCTGAACCGCTGCTGCAGCACTTCATGCTCCCACTGGAGGTCCTTCAGCTCCTTCTCGGTGACCTTCAGGCGCGCTCGCACGCTCTGGCAAGGGAAGGGAAGGGAAGGGAAGGGAAGGGAGCGGACGGCATGAACGGCAAAGGGCTCCTGGTGTCGGGAAGTGTGAGCTACCGCTGCAGTGTGTTATGTTTCACACGGGAAAGGGAATCCGGGGACAGGCAAGCTGGCCGCTGCAGAGACGCCTGTCCACGCCTGAGCAGCAGCAGACTCGTGGGAGCCCGGTGCCCGCAGCCCAGGTCCAGCAGGAAGCAGCACCAGGAAGACCCGGCCGGGCCGGGTGCCGGGTGCTGGGTGCAGGGCAGGGACGTACCGCCAGCATGGCTTTGTCCTTCTCGTAGTGGGCGAGCCTCTTCTGCAGCTCTGCCACCTCCTCCCGGGCTCGTTGTAGCGGCTCCGTCAACCTTTTGTTCTGCAGCATCACTTCGGCCATCTCCTTCTCCAGGTGGTCCTCCTTCTTCTTCATCTCCTCCATCTGCTCCTGTGCTCCGGAGCAGAAGGGATGTCTCAGGACCGCAAAGCCAGCCTTCAGCCTATTGAATGGAGCGGGTCTTTGGCTGCACTAAAGCTTGTCTGCCACCTACGAGTCTTGAGTCCCCGTCCTGGACATCTCTCTGAAGCAAACCTTCCATGGGACTTCCCCTCCTCCAGAAAGAATAAGCAACTACTCCCAGTCATTTGACCGGCCCAGTGAAGTCGAAGGAACCGATCTGCTGGGGAACAGTTCAGCAGGACACAAACGAGGCCCCCTCCCCAGACCATGAAGAGGCACTGACCCCAGCACTCCTGGCAGACATGGGAGCGCTCCAGAACACCGAAGCTCGCCACAGGCAAAGCACACGAGAGCAACCAGGTAAGCGGCAGCAGGACGGAGTCCGCCAAAGCCAGAACAAGCCTCAGGGCCCACCCTCCTCCCTCAGATTGGCCTGCAGCTGCAGCAGCTCCGCTGCCGAGCGTGCGGACAGGTAGGTGTCTTTTACCTTGAGAGTGTTGATGAGGGCCAGGTTGTTGAGGGTGACGTCATTGTAGTAGTTCTTGATGTCGCTGAAGGCCTTCTCGTGGTTCTTCATCAGCGTGTTGATCTGCCCGTTCTTCCTTTCCTCGATCTCGTGGATCTCGGTCTTCCGGCGCAGGTCAAGCTCATCTCGCAGCACGCGCATCTTCTTCTCATACTTGGCCTCGATCTCTGGGGGAGCAGCATCCAGGGCAGACTGAGCTCTCACGAAGCGAGCAGGCAACAAGGTGCAGGCCAGGCACCTCTACCGCGGCCTGCTGCGCCAGGCTGTGGGGAAGAGCAGATGGGGCCGGGTGTCCACTGGCAGCATGAAGAGAGGGCTAACCACTACTCTGGCTGACTGGAAAATGCCAGATTTGCCCAAACACAAGGGAAACACTTCAGACATGCAAAGAACTCTGCCACGGAAGAGATGGCCTGGGGGAGCCCAGCACTGCACAAGTACAGAGCCAGCCCTGCAGAAGGCACCACGGCTGGCGCCCAGGTGGCTTCTTCTCTGGTTGCCTTCTGCCAGTTGTCGAAGGCAGTCTTATTCCAGCAAGCTTTTGCTTTACTAATGCCCGATCCGTTATTTCAAAGCTGGCATTTTATGTGTGCTGTTCGCTTCTGTTACTACTCAATTACGTGTAAACTGAACAGGCTGTTTCACTTCAAATTCTAAGACACTCTACACGGTGTACAGAAACTAGAAGAGCTAGAGATAAGGGCCTTCGCCTAAAGCAGACAAGCAAGCCATGCTTCTGCACGTAGCGAGCATTCCTAATCAAGCAGCTTACAACTGCCTGCGTGTTCGCGCGCACAAAGCACGTGGAGGTTCAAGTGAGCCTCGGCGTCCTCCTCCGAACGAGTGCCGGGTGCCCAGAATGCAGGCAGCTATGCCACAAGGGCCTAGGCAAGCCTCCAGGGCCCACCCAGCCGGCAGGCCACCTTCACGCACACCCCGCAGCAGAGAAAGGGGCCGTGGGGCCCTGCCTTGCCTGCTGAGCTTCCAAACGGTCACACGCGTGGCTCCCAGGCAGGGGGAAAGGCGCCACCGTGTGACCCAGCTTCCACACTGCCAGATTGGGGTGGAGGCTGCCTCAGGGAAGAAGAGGCGCCACAGCCTGCAAAGCCAGGAAGCAAACCAGCCCAGCACTGACCTCTCACTTGTCTCTCGAAGTCGCTGCGCAGCCGTGTCATGTCCTCCTGCTGCTTCTGCCAAGGGGATGGTGCTGGTTAGTGCCAGGCCTGCCAGTGCAGAGGGATGCCCTTCCTGCAGACTCAGAGGAAAGCGCTGGAGGCAGGGCTGAGGCTCGGGGCGCCGACCTGGGACTGGCGCAGCAGCCACGCCGGCGCCGCTTCACACGTACCAGCCGGAGGTTCTTCACAACCATCTCGTTGGCCAGCTCCTGCTCCTTCAGCTCCACCTTCAGCGTGCGCATGTCCTTCCGCAGCTCCATTTCCTGGGATCGGTGATCCTTCTGGGCCAGCTTCATAGCAACGGTCCCTTCCGCCTTCAGCTCTGTGAGGTTGTTCTGGTGCTCATACAGCAGGTGCTTCACTTTCTGCTTGTAAACCTGAAGCAAAAGGAGGACCTATCAGAAATGGCGCCCTCCCCTGCAGAGGCCTGGTGGAAGCCAGCTGGCTTTGCGCTACTGGGGGGATGGGACGGTGGGGGGGGGGATGCGTCAGAGGGATTAAAGAGAGAAAACGAGACAGTGCAGCATGGAGCCTCACCTTGATCTCCACCTGGTGGCGTTCCTCAGCCTCCTCCATCTCACGGTCCTTGTTGCGAAGCTCGGCCTTCTTCTCATCCAGCTGCCGTCGAGTGATCTCCCAGAAGGTGTGGATTTTGTCTCGCTCCAGCTGGAAGTAGTTGCGCTCTTCCCGCTCGCGGTCCAGCTCCTCCCGAACACGCCCAATGTGCTCCTCCAGCTGTGGGACCAAGAAAAGGGTCAGCTGACAGCACGGCTGGAACCAAGAGGGTACACGGGGAACTCCCCATGGCCACCGTGGGCACCCTGCTTTGCTGCCTGGTGGGATCTGTTGGCTTTTTGAGTATGAGACATACTCATAAGAACCCCAAAATGCCTGTACAATTCACACAATCACTACCTAAACCATGCTGTAGATCTGCATTCAGCCACCCTGTAGAAAAGCTTAGCTTTGTTATTCTACAGATAACAGAAAGGGCATGGGCCCAATCCCGGGTTTCTCCCAACAGGGACCTTCTGCACGGACAGAAGGAAGAGTGCCTCTGCGAGCTCCCCAGTGCCGGGCGTCCATGTCGGTCTTGCTCCCACGTCCTTCTGGGTGGGAGGGTCAGAGGCCACCCGCCTGAGCCGAAGCAGCACCCAGAGCAGCCTGCAGAATCCCAGGCCGTGCCATTTCTTCAGCGAGCTCCCAAACTAGGGAAACAACGCATCCCGTGCCCGAGGCGTCCCAGGTGCCTCCGGACACGCCGCCCCGGCAGCCCCGGCGTCGCCCACCTGCTCCTTGGTCATGCCCTCCGGCGGGAGGGCGTCCACCACGGCGGGCCCCTTCGCTCCTCGGCCCTTCTTGCCGCCACCGGCCTTCTTCTCGCCTTTCTTCTTGGGTGCCTGCGGGGCGCGGGAGAGCAGAGGCCGGGCTGAGCGCCAGGCGCCGGAGGGCAGGGCCCGGCCCGCCGCCGTTCCCCGGGCGGCCCGCTCCCCCTCGTCCGCGGCAAGCGGGCCCGGCTCGGGAGGGGGCGAGCGCCGCCGAGCATGTGCAGAGCGCAAGCTGGGGCGGCGGCGTCGGGGGCGCCCTGCCCGGGAGAGGCCCCGGCCATAGGGCTCGGGCGGGCGCGGGGCCGGGGAAGGGGAAGGGCGCCCCGAGCGCGGCGGCCCCGGCCGGGGCGGCGGCTCCCGCGCCCGCCGCACTCACCATGGTGCCGACGGACGCGCCTCTCCGGCGGCCAGGCCCGAAGCTCCCGCGTTGCCCGGCAACCGCGAGCGGCTCTCGCGAGAGGTCGCCGCGGCCCCGGCCCCGCCCCCGCCCCGGCCGCCGCCTAGCAACGGGAGCGCGCGCGCCCGCCCCGCGGGGCATCGGCCGGGCGGATCGAGGGCGGAGCCAGGCAGCGGGCCTCCCCGCCGCCCGCCTCCGTTGCGCCCCCGACAGCCCCGCGAGGGGCCCCGCCGCCTGGCCCGACGCACCCGGGCGCCCCGTGGCCGAGTGGGGCCCCGGCCGCACCTCCCGCCGAGCACGTGCCCGACGCCGCCATGACCCGGTGCAGCCGGAGAGCTTCGCCGCCGGGAAAAAGGCAGGAACCCGCAGGGGGAAGGAAGGCAAGCGAGAGGCCGTTAGCGAGGCGGGGGCGCTGCGCCGCCTTCCGTGCGGGTGACCGTCCCTGGCCGCGGCCGGGCTTGCTTCCGAGGAGACCCGTCTCCGCCTGCGCTCTTTGCCTGGCAAACGATGGCCAGCGCAGCCCTTCCTCCCCAAGGAGCGGCTTCGGCTATTCTAAGGAGCAGGCGATCAACAATAAATTACTCTTCATTCTGCGTTCCCGACTGTAAGATGAGTCATATGCTGCACGTTAAACGAGATAGAGTATAGTAGGGCAGGAAAAGAGGCAGAAAGCGGGACACGAAATGACCGCGTGTTGTACGGCAGGCGCTCCGATGAGGAAAGGTCCCTGTCTTATGCTTAGAAAAGCGATGAGTGATGCAGGAGTACAACGGTGATCCCTGCTGTGGAGCATGGCCGAGGCAACACTTTGCTCGCTCCCCCATAATACTAGCATCTTGGTGGCTCTTCCCATGGAGCTCGGGGGAGGATTCGGGCCGAGCAAAGGCAGGGCTGCTTCTTGCCTCACACTGGCCTTCATGCCCGAGCGATGCCGGGATGGCGACCAACTGGGAGGGCTGTGCGGGGGGCCCGGGGCACATTCACAGAGGAGGAGGGGCCTGTCCGTGGCTGCTGGGCCCGATGTCTCCAGGTGACCGCCAGTGTCCGAGGCAGGTGCCTGCACACACCAGTCACCGATAGCGGTGCTGCTGGTTCACTGCCCTGCCCAGCCCTCTCTAATGAGGCTGTGGACGGGGCGCCTCGTTAGCTCTCTGGGATAGCTGGATAACTGGCCCCCGGAGCTGCTCCCTCACTTTTACTGCCCCTCCAGCTGCAAGGCCTTCACCTCGGGGACGGCCGTGCTGCACGGACCATGAGATTTGAACCCAGGAGCTGGGGAGATGCAGAAGGAAGAACTGCTGTCCAGCTTGCTCTGTTGCGATTGAGCAGCAATGCTGGAATCACAGATGCCTTCCCAGCAGCTAGTAAGAATATCTGCTGTGTCACCCAGCAAGGGTTCACAATTCTGTGCCTCTGAATCATGTGCAGAGTGCAATTTCCCCCCTGCTCCCCATTAATCAATTTGTACCTTATTTATTTAGGGGGGAACCTAAATTTAAAAAAAAACAACCCTTACCATTCCTGGAATTTTCCAGCTAGCTCTATTCCTGTCTATGCATTTGCTTTTACTCCATGATGCATCTCGGGGCTTCTGGCTGGAAGCGGCTGGCAGCACGGAGTCTCTGCACTCCTGGTTTAGGGTTAGATGGGCTAGTCATTCCTACCGCCCTGCACCCGTTGCCAGCTTGCAGAGCTGCTGGGGATGTTGCTGCTGGCAGCCTGCGGAGCAGCGGCTACTCTCTCGCGGCTTTCTGCCGTGATCTCACTTCCCAGAGCCTCTTAAACATTCCTGCAAAGCAGCCCAGTGGCTCCTCTTCCTGGCCTCCCTTGACGGGGGCCTTCCCCTTGGACCTGTGCCTCGCTCTGTTTTGAGAAGCTGCAGTTGGGGCTGCTGTGTGTGTGTGAAATTTTGCAGCCAGGCGCTGGAGCGAAAGGCCCCAGCAGTGCAGCCAGCAGAGCGATGCCGGCCTGCCCCACCCCCACAGGGGCTTGGGAGAAGCGACGCGAAGGAGCCAAGAGCCAGCGCCCCGCAGGATGCCGAGCCGTGGGAACCGGCTGGCTTTGAATATCGGGGAAAAAATGCAGCGGTCTGCAGTGCTGCCGCAGGGCAGGGCACACGGTGGCCCCACCGGGAGCCACACCGTTCCTGGGCGTGCTGCAAGACCAGGAGGAACCTGCTGGATCCGACCCCGATTGACCCAGTTTCCTGCCAGCCCAGCCCCACCACTGGGCTGAGGGAGGAATGCCGCAGCCGTTCACCTGAGGCCCCCCCCCCCACCGGTGTGGACGGGCAGAAGGGACTCCTTAAAATACGCGGCCTCCGAATATTTCTCTCTGATCCACCTCGGTTCTCTGTGGCTCAAGATCCCGGTTTTGGGCGCCGCCGTCGCTTCCCCAGCCTGCTGCCCCAGATGGGCTGGAGTCCCGCTCCCCTGGGGGGCCGTGGCTGCTGCAGCACCCGGGTGGCCCCAGGAAGGGGAAGGCTGCCCCGTGGGGGGCGGGGAGGGGCAGGAGCAGAGGTGGTGGGGCCCGGTGGCTCCAGCCATCCCATCGGCCTGAGCCCGGGTGTTCCTCGAAAGCGCACTGGGGCCTGTCCAGGCCGGCCACGCATCCCGCTGCGTCCACGGCGGCATCATGCCAGCGAGCGCATGACGGGCCAACACACACCTGGGCCAGGCCGACGCGCACAGGCAGGGCAGAGGCGAGATGCCCCTCTGCGGGTTCCTCTGCCTGGACCCATGGATCATTTCTGTTCCTGTAACTAGAACTTTCCTTTCAAAGAGGTGTATCATCATCCTGGGCTAGAAAATTGTCCCCCAAGGCCTCCAGCAACCCTGCAAGCAGGTCTCCCCGCATTCTGCTGCAGCCCCACTGCCTCCTGCCCAGGCAGCCACCAAGCCCCCCTTCCCAGACCATTTCCCTCTGCAGGGGCCCCCCCCCCCGCATTTCCATGGCACATGGACTGAAACTTCAGATCTGGAACTCTGCACATGCTCAGAGGTGCCCTCTCCAGAAGTTCAAAACGAGCCCAGCGGGCGGAGGGCAGAGAGACGACTGCAGC